TAATATATATATATATATATATATATATATATATATATATATATATATATATATATATTTGTGTTCTATAATTAGGTAGATAACCAACATAACCCAGTTGCTGAGATCTAAACAAATTGTTTTAGCAACCAAGATGGCACTGAAGTGTCGCACTTACCAAGCAACACAAATCCATGTAAACATCTACTGTAGGATCTCAAATTTAGAACATTTTAATTTGAATATGTTAATGTGATACCAGGAGTCAAAGTTTGGTATCCTTTCTGAGAACCTGATGTACCACATTTGGACACCAAGATTGCGTGACTACCAATTGTCATGCACTCTCATCCTCATTTGATTTGGGCTTTACCCTTAACTAGTATCCATTTATATGAGATCAGGTATTAATTGGGACGAAAGTCCTGATGTACCACATTTGGACACTGGTTTTGGGAAAGCATTGGGAACAGCTTACCAAGATTGCGTGACTACCAATTGTCATGCACTCTCATCCTCATTTGATTTGGGCTTTACCCTTAACTAGTACCCATTTATATGGGATCAGGTATTAATTGGAACGAAAGTCCTGTTCCTAATCCCAGTCACGTTGGTTGTCTTGTGACATGTTATGTACACTGTATATCATTCATTGTCTGTGTAAACATTTGTGATGAATTTAATAATTATAATATTAATAAGTTTCAACATCCCTGACCCATCCACCCTCATTATTGTTATAAATTACAAAAGCAGCAGTATCGACTCAACAGTCAACAGTCAACAACTAAACAGTGTTGGTATCATAGATTTAATACACTGTGGTGCACAAGTCTGAAACTTTGAGCAGGGGTTGGAAAAATAGGCGAGCACCCGAGCACTGCTGGCAGGAAATGTTAAACAGCTGCAGGAAATTCGTTTGAATGAAGATTTGCCATTGAAAATTTAAAGGAAACCTTAACACTCGTGTCCCACTATGGGGGCAACAACATATGGCAATGACAGACTTTATTCCTTGAATTTAAAACCATGGTCGGCTAGAACACTATATGTTTATACACAATATGCAGATTTAGCACAAAAATACTCTGTTGGTCTGGAGGAAATTTTTGTCTCCAATTTTTGGCTCCCAGGAAGAAAACTCTCTTTTCCTGGGCCCTGTCTTTGAGAAACTTCAATACCGGTACAGTTTGGGAGAAATGAGAAAGGATCACTGGCCCTTATGCTTGTTATTTTCTTGTGCTTGTTATTTTACTTGTAGATTCAAGAACTATTGCGATACCAATAGTTGAAAAATATCCTGCCGGATTATCTGCAGGCTAGATAATTTCAAACTTATCATTTATATATTCTTTCTCCTAATGAATATTGAGTGCCAGTTTTGGCCATACTTCTGTCATCAGTTCCAGCTGCAACCAGAACCCTAAAAAACTGATATCTGGTGCATCCCTACAAATTCCATTCCCTGTAAACATCCACTCAAAGAGTTTGTTCCACCTGCTGTCAATGTACTGCAATACCCCGTAGTTACAATTTCCCATAAGACCATCTCCTACATCATTTACAATAGCTAGATAACTATTATGGTGGGCTCTAGTTTGATGATATACTCTTGAACTGTCTGTGCCAGTGTGGGTAGTGCCAATAATATGAACAAGCTTTCGTTGGTAGAGATGCAACTACCTGAAAAATATAAGGAGAATTTCGATGTTTCGAGCTCCAGACGAACGACCTTAATTCACTCGAAACGTCGAAATTCTCCTATTTTTCAAGTAGTTGCATCCCCACCAACGAAACTTGTTCATCTTATTTGATGAAGAAGTATAGACCAAAGATGCATTATAATTGTTTTTGGTGCACTCGGTATCACATCCGGGCCTGATAGTGAGCTAATCTCATTATTCGGCTATGAATATCCGGTGAGATACTGAATATTGTTTATTTGAAAAGCACGTTAATGAGTATTTATCATATTTTTATTTGGAATGATCGTAGAGAAGTTGGCAATATTTTTGAGATTTTTCATGCTCGCTTGCGAATGCAAAAAAGTGGGTTTCAAAGTTGAACTTTTTGAGCAATGCTTTTCCAATCATGCATGCGTGTTTGTCGATGTTACACTGCGAAGATCTTTATCATTTCAAGTCTATTATATTATATTATACATGCACCATCACTTTATAACCAATGAAAGTAATTATTTATCTTGGAATGCCTTAGGCGTGAACTTTATATAACCATATAGTGTTTTGCCAGGTATTTTTCAACTATCCTGTATTCTGCCGGATAGTAAAATGCTCTATCTGGTGCTCCCGTATAATGGTAGTAAATATTACTATTCACGAAAATCAGGGATGGATCCAGCCAGATCAACATCTGGTAAGAGGTGCTCACTGCTCATTGACCCTTGTTCATGTTTATATCTCTATATCTCTCGTTTATTTCGCTTCTTGTAATTACAGGATTAAATTGTAAGCGATTTACAAGTTTATATTAACAATAAAATATTTACAAAGCAATAAAATTATATAAATATACTATATAAGAAACAGATATTATAAAATAGAAATTTTTGTTACTATTTATATCTATATGTTAAACATTTTTTACATCTATCAGTCCGGATCTTTCTTACACCTATTTGGTTCTGATTTCCTGATCTTAGGTTATAACCGTGTGTATTCGTATAGTATGTTTTTGTTAAATGATGTAGAGTATGGGACGGATCTTTAAGTTTATTTATATACTTCTTACATAAGTAGAGCTACCCACATCAGTATACTCAGTAGGACAGGCATAACACTGTTCTTGGCAGGGTTCAGGGGCCTTATTGTAGTAAGGGTGATAGAATATTGCATTCAAAGAAATGGATTTGATAATATATATACATTTATTATTAAATACGATAGGTCGTAGGTTCGAATCCCACCGTGGCCGGGCATGTTTTTCAAGCTCGCCAGGTGTGGATATACACTCAGAGTAACACCACAAATATCATATTCACCTGAGTACACTGCACCAACACAGAAAAAATTCATATTACTAGAATACATTGGTATTGAAGGAACTAGATTCTGTTCCGAAATATCACTTACTCGAACCGTCCTGACCGCGTAGCTCAGTTGGAAGAGCATTGGGCTAGTATTCCAAAGGTCGTAGGTTCGAATCCCACCGTGGCCGGGCATGTTTTTCAAGCTCGCCAGGTGTGGATATACACTCAGAGTAACACCACAAATATTAAAATACGATATACATTTTAACACAAATGAAAGCGAGAATAGATTTATTTTAATTGAACGACGTTTCATGTCATCTTACATCATTTTCAAATTCGTTACAGTTCGTTTATATGATACATGTACGTACGTTTGCTTCACAATTATGGTTTAGATTTTAGAATTTTAGGAAACGCAAGATATCCATCAAACCTTTCTTCGACCATGGATAGTCCGTATATACCTTTTTATCATCCGTGCTTCGACATACATTTCATTTGAAAAATGTTGGCCAGTACTTGTTTTCCATTATCTGATTTATATATATATATATATATATATATATATATATATATATATATATATATATATATATATATATATATATATATATATATATATATATATATAATTCTTTCATAGCAAGAATACCAATACGTAATTATGTTTCTTTGGTTGGTTTTACATTCGCAAAACATTCTTAATGCGCGTTTTTTGGATCAGTCAGATCACTTTTACGTTACTTGAGTTTCCGATATGAAATCCGGGATCAAATTTAATAAACCTTTTTTCGGATCGAATCGGATTACTTTTTCAGGTTCGGATTCAGAGAAAACGTCGGACAGTCCGATCCGACGCACACCTCTAGCCTCTCTACACTCCATCTTCTTTCCCGTGCAGCCTCTATTGTAGCCAATGATTTTGTATATAGTAGTGCTGTAAGTTTTCTCCCAGTGACACTTTACTTCCCAAAGTGATTCTGTGTATTTTTTATCTTTGCAGCATATGCAAAAAGATCAAGATGAGACGAAGAGCTCAAAAGACGGATGCCTTAGAAAGCATTCAGAATGCAAAGAGATCGAAAGCTGAGCAGTCTGAGTTTGTTGCTAAGGAACAGCTGAATTTTGAATCACAAAAAGTGTCGCCACGTAAAAGAAAGAGGACTGTTGCAACAGAAGGAAGGACATCATCGGATAATAACACTGATAAAAATACTAGCAATATTTTAAATGATATGGAGCACGAGGATTCCGACAGCACTCTTTCTGGTGAAGAAAATGACAGTGACCTTGTTGTTACTAGGGCTAAAGAGAAACCTGTAGAAAGCTGGTCTGGTGAACATTCTCACACTTCTCGAAAGCATTCCTCTTCTGGGGGTCCTACCACACCACCGAAATATAAGAAGGGGGATGTTATCACAACGCCAAATGGAATAAGAAAGAAATTCAATGGTAAACAGTGGAGGAGACTGTGCTCAAGGGACCTTTGCAACAAGGAATCCCAGCGTAGAGGCTTTTGCTCCAGGCATTTGTCCATGAAAGGAAAATCACTTCGATCAAATTCGGCTATCCCTGGTGAACGTCGTGGTAAACTTGTAAAAGAAGGTGGAATCGAATGGGAATCAGGTGGAGAAAGTGACAGCAGCATTCAACGTGAATGTGATAGGAGTAATAGTTTTGACAGTGATATAAAGGATATGGAGACGGAAGCAGCGATGAGTCTTGTTTCACTCGGCTCTCGTGGACCTACACCATTTTCAACGTTAAGTACCCCGTTACCTTTCTCGTCTAAGACTCCTTCACCTTTTGGTTCTCACGGAATGTCATTTGATGAAAATAGCTCAATCACACCTCATCCTATTATGAACTCCACTCCCACAAAAAGTCTTGTTAATCAAGTTGCAACAAAAATAAGGCATTTAACAAGCGGTGAATATCACAACCGACATGCTCTGAGCCCCGACTCTGGTATTCAGATGTTTGGCCGAGATGATAGAGGCAGTTTTAACAATACACCATCTATAATGTCACCTGCGCCAATTGTATCACCGTGCACGCCAACAAGAAAGATGACATTTTCGCCCATACCTAGCGTGAATAGTAGAACTGTCTCACCAAGCCTACCCACTCCACCTGCAATTAGGGGCAAGAGATGCTTCGTAGCCCCTAATTTGCCTGCCCCTTCCGCTTTAACCCCACCTCCCAGTCAGGTTATGTATTCGCCTGCTCCACAACCTCTTTCAGTTACTTCTAGCAGTCTTTTTACTCCTTATACCCAAACTACTTTTACAAAAACAACGAACGGAAAAGCCTTTCATAGTAATCTGAGCGTTTCTGGGCCCAGTAATTCAGAAAAAATGCCTGGTTCAAAAACTGCCCAGACCAAGCAAGAAGTCTCCAAACGTGATCAGGCTGAAAAACCATCGACTCAAGAAGATAAACCAGCCGTTCATATCGGAGCATTTACAACTCCATTATATCCCTGGCAAGCTGTCTTGCCTGTTTTAATGTTTTCTGGGTCTCCAAAAAGCAATAAAGACAAAACTAATGCTACTCAAGTAACAAATGGTAGTAAGGCATTGGATGGCAAACACGACCATTCACAGAGAACTGTAGCGTCTTGGTTTGTGATGAACCAGCCACCCTCTTTTGAAGGTAACTGCATGAATGACGACCATAGAGCTAACGAGACAGGAGAAACGTTGGATGAAATTGATGAAAATTTATCATCACCATTAAAGGTAAGAAGAAATGGTCTTAATTACTCGCTGGGGCACCTGTGCCCCGGACGAGTATAGGTTTCGGCTTGCATTTTTCACGGATCATGGATCTCCATCGTCGATAGCCACAAAATAGAATATTAATGAGCTGCCTAATTTTCCCCCAATTATCCATAAGGCTCCTGCCAATTTGACCCAAATTATCCATAAATAGCCCTCCATTTTGAGGAAAATTCGGGGAAATTGAACAAATTTACAAGGAATTTCGACATGGAAACAGCAGCAAGTAAAAATGTTTCAAACAATTTCGTGGAGTGGGCAAATGTTTCAAACAATTTCGTTAAAATTTTCAACGAATTGTACCTGTTTTCTATGGATTTTGCATTGTGTCTAACTCTGGACATTCTTGCTAGTTTAGTTAATGCATTTTTCTTGGTACACGACTCTGAAAATCCGAAATTTGGATCGTTAAATTCCCGTGCACGATCATGATATACTGAATCTGAATCTAAACGAGACAAATACAAACATTTCAAGGTAAAAGGTTATAACTTAAACTACACAACGTAGTTTTATAATAGATAAATACTTTATGAGAAGCATATTGGTGTCATATCAATATAAAATTTATCCAACAACAGTCCCTTATAGTTAGTACAGTAGCTGTGGAAAGGCGAAAGCTGTAGAGTGTAGTATGAAACATGATATTGTATTTGTATAAATGCCTAATGGCGCAATACATAAAGGATAAAAATACCACCGTTCGATTCAGCGTAAGAAATTGTACTTACGGATGTCAAATGTATTTATACTACAGTATATAAACAACAGTATTCTAGTGATTTACGGCCTTTGTCTTTGTATTGTAAATTGTATTGTTGATAAATCGCTCAAAATTATTAAACTAATTAAAAATGCAGTGCGTTTGATCCTTGATAACTTTGGTATCGTTGGTTTTCTCTTTTTCGGCCATATACCAGTGGATTCGTCTCACTTCTCTCTTCATCTTGATAGTATTTTGAGCCCAAAAGCCCACAAATATTTTCCTTTGAACGTTTTAATGCGCAGTTTCATCCTTGCGTACGGACCAACTGGCGGCCGACAAAAGAATGTATATAGATTACAGCGTACGAAATATAACTTTACTTGCAGACGGAACGCCGGAAGAGCACCGCATTTTAGTACTGTGTTAAACAGCCTTTTGCGTTCGTATTCGACTTTTCCGCTTAGTTCGGGAACAACATTAATGTGCGTATTTGTATAGGCCCAGCGAGTTAACGCTCTACAGAGCGTCTTGTTTCAATTTAAAGTGGATAAGACATCATATTTTCTAATCATAATAAATTATATTTCAAAATAATCTATTAGCGTCCAATACATACTATTTCTTTTCATTTTCGAGAAATGCGAATTGGCTGCGTCCATTCAAGTTACCTGTGCGCAAATGTATACACCGCACATGCCTTTCAAAATAAGCTGGCGTGCCCCGAAACTCTGGTGGATCTTACGAGGTTTACCACCAGCTACTTTCCTTAATATATAATTATATGCGATTCCAATCTGTATTTTTCATTGCATTTGTAACATTTACAGATAGCCAAATGCACGTACCTAGCTTCTTGATGTCCCAGCTTTCCTCCGGGTGTTCCTGTTTTCTCCTTTAGTAACACTGGACTATATGGTCTGTTTATGTGGTCCCACTATACACGCACGGGACAGTACGGTTACCGATTTTAATATAAACTCTTTTGAGTATTTGTACAGTATGATCCCAATTCCATGCCGCCTTGGCGGGATCCCAGCATGTGTTGCCGGATTCCCGCCTAGGGGGGACGAGAAATTCCCTTATAGACACACTGTTTTTGCTAGGCGGGATGACGCCAAGTACTTAACTTGCGTCACCTTTGCAATGTTTTTGTCCATATAAATACGCTCTACCACCTGGGCTTGTTGTCCCAGTAAGCGGGATGAAAATGTCCCGTCCCGCTTAGGTGGGATCATATAAACAAGCTATAATAATGAAATGCCCTTTCTGGACCTGCAGGGATATCGAGTTAGACCAAAGTGGAAGAGCTATCCATCTTATTTCTCTCTTTGATATTAATTTAGGGTGGTCATGGGGATAAAGAACATATCCGACGTCCTATGAATGCGTTCATGATTTTTAGTAAGAGGCATCGAGCGAGAGTTCATGAACGATATCCACATCAAGACAACAGAACTGTTAGTAAAATACTGGGAGAATGGTGGTATGCTTTGGGCGCGAACGAGAAACAGGAGTATCAGAATCTTGCACACCAGGTATGCTGGGTGAAGAATGACATCATTTACATGATACATGGGTTTCGCGTCTGGTCAGTGCGAATCTTGATATTTTTATTACCATTTGATTGTTGCTACCGTGTTGGTGCGCAAATTCGATGCAATTTTGTGTATTCGATGCAATTTTGAGATTTCAGAGTTTGTCATTTGAAATAAAAAATACTGTAAACAAAGTATTGGTGACAAATATCTGGCTTGAAAATATTCAAGACACGTGCTTGACATGAAAATTGGAGACAAATCCTGTGTGCACCGAATGAATTCAAGCTAAATATCCTAAGGGACGGACCATTTGATTTTTCATGGGGGGCGCAAATCCGAAAACAATATCGAACATGTCTCGAATGGAAGAAAAAAAATCGAACATCACTAACACCAGCAAAAAAAAATATCGAGCACAAAAAAATTCTAAATTAGCAATATTCTATATTGAAAGAAAAATTCAGTTTCCCTGAGTTTTTTTTTCTGTTGAGTGTTTCGGTTCTGCCTTGGTTAACAATACCGGAAGTATACATGCAAAATACAAACCGATACAAACCAGTTCTGACAACTTTGACTTCAATAATTCAATTATCCACAAATTACCTTAATGGTATCCCTAAAAACCCCATCGATTAATGAGGGTGGGAAAGGGGTGGGGGGGATTATGAATCACGTTTCACAACAAAAAAACCCGTTTCACAATTCACGTGCCATAAAAAAGCAATTTCACATTTCACGGATAACGAGACTCTAATAAAAATAGTATAATAATAATAGCTTTAAGATTATGTTTAATGCATGGTCAGTACTACGCTTTAAGTTCTCTTCTCTGCCTGGCAGTTAAAAACTACTTACAAGTTTGAGTGATGAGTACGTCCGACGACCTCCGAAAGGCCTCCGAAGTTTCTACTCTTGTGCAATCGAGTGAGATCGATCATATAAATTATTATCGCGTATTATGTCCATTATGACTATTATAAAATAGATCGGAATAAACAAATCAAAATCACAGTTCACGAAACAGACATCCTTAATTCCCATTTCACGGAGCATTTTTATCGACAATCACGCCTCACAGCTGTAGAACAAATCACATTTCACGACACTAAAATCAAGCATTTCACACGATCAAATATTGACCATTGTAAAAAGATGAAATCCGGGTAGAAATTAGGGGGTGGGGGACGATGACTACCCATGTGACTAGCAATCTCATCTATTCACCAAATTGTCTATAAAAGTTCTAATCTTTCCTAAATCTAACTACATAAAATAATGCCTATGGTGGTTATTGGTTAAAATGCGTTTTAAAACTTCGATTTAACTATTTACACGCGACCAAGTAAGCTTCTTTGAGTCAAATTAAGGATCCACATTATTGAGAAATCATTAAAAATCAGGTCTTTCCTGCAGTAAATAATCTTCAGAATTATGCAAAATTTCTCCCCAGAAACACGGGAAATCGCCATTGAGGGACTCCAGATTTCAAAATTTTGAAAAGGCTTACACCTTCAACGTTCGATATATGCCCCCCCCCCCAAAAAAAAATTATAGTCTGGCTACGCCACTGCATTCACGGCTCACAAAAATACCCTTTCCCACCCTCATTAATATCGCTGTCTGATTCTGAATAAAAATCGCAGTTTATAATACGTATTGGGAACACTGATACGATTGGGAACCGTGAGAATTTGTATATAGATGCCATTACGCCAATGCAAAATGGGTTACACACTTTAATACACTTGATCCAATTTTGATCGGGGCTATGGTCTACATTTTGTAGACCATAGCCCCGTATAAAATGGGTCAAGTATAAAATTGACCAAGTATAAAATGGGCTGTGATAGTTATATCATAGAATAGGAAGGTATACCAGACGTCTCACTCAAGCAAATATTTGTCCGCGTTTTTACAAGCGATTCGTCATCAATCACGCCATCCTGGCTAGTGCAACCGGCACTTTGTACCTACCAAAACCTGATAAAAACTTCCGGCTGTTCTAGCCAGGATGGCGTGAGCGAGTTAAAATTTTCGTAGGTTACACTTCTGCTATACTTTCCTATTTTGTGGTTATATGCTGTATATTCAAATACATTCTTCAGCCGGAATATAACCATACGTGGTTATTATTGTATTAACGCTATAGTAAAAATTTAAAAAAATATCGTGCACGCTGCAAGATTCGATAAAAAAAAATCGTGCGGAGTCGGTGAGGTCCAAAAAAAAATCGAGCACTCCCAAAAATGCGCCCCCCCCCCCATGAAAAATCAAATGGTCCGTCCCTAAGGAAACTGTACAACGTCACATTAAAAATCTTGGTTGAACTTGAAAACATTCCAGCCTGCAGTACAATTGAAACATTACTTTTCTAACTATGTTTGTCCTAACTGGCCCTGTCAACTTTCCCTGTGGGAGGAAACCGGAAAACGTGAAAACGATCTTCAGTGTGTATAGTCCTATATTGTATTTTGCTAAAGATCGCCGTCTTCTTTTGCTAAAATGCACTATTTTTGTTGTTTAAGGTTAAAGAAGCTCATTATAGGAAGCATCCTGAATGGAAGTGGTGCAACAAAGAGAAGAAGAAAATTGCTCGGAAAGGTGAACGAAGGTCCTCAATTACTGAGGACCTGCTGACTGAAGGTGTCGAGAAAGACCTGGAACTGGCCGGTCGACCAAACAACATACATGTGCGATCAAAAAGTGTACCTGCGAATGAACTTAGAAGCAAGACTATTGAGGCAGAAGACTTCTCATCCTTTCCACAAGCAAGAGACTCTCTTTCGCAGTTGGCAAAGGTGGTTATGTGCCAATAGTGGCAGTACTTAAAATCCATTTATAAATATAATTGATACGAAAATGCTTGAATCACTGGTAGTTTTACGCTCTACGTCCTGACACAAAGTTGCACATCAACGTTTACCATAATGATTAAAACCTTCAATATGTAGTAATTGGTTTATGTTGTGATGTCTCCGCCATTCGTTGTTAATATTACAGTAACTGATGTACATGTTCTTTTAATTGTTAATATTAATTTATGTACATGTTTTCATGTTCTTCATTGAATATTTGTTGTTTGTATCCTTGAACGGATACAACTACCTGAAAAATATTGGCAGAACTTCGGCGTTTCGAGCGAAGGGCCTTCGTCGGGGACTTCGCTCGAACCGTCGAGATAAACAACTGAAAATCATTTTACGGATCGATGTATACTGTATGTTGCAAAACAGGTGGATAATTCGTTTAGTTCTGATAGGCATATAGGAGTTGTTCCGCGCTATATAAATACTAGGATTTTGTTTGTTTTTAGAGCGATTTTAACGATGAGTTTGAACATTTCCTTTTCGATTTTATGCCCAAGCTCACACATGCGCAAATCTAGTCAAACAATTACTTAAAATGACGTCACTTGAATCAAACATACTGTCATTTTGCAAGCATAAGTTTAACCATGTCTCTTTTGTTGTATTTCAGGTGGCGGTGCAATGTGGAACTGAAAGCCGTAGTAATAAATTGTGGGATGCTGAAGATGATTCAGAGCACGAAAATTCCTGTAAGCAAGAGGATCTGTCTGCTTTGGAATGCAAGGAAATTGTCTCAGGTATAGTCTACTGTAAATATACGCATGTAGCTGATGATAACGATAATTTCGAAGTCAAGGATGCGAATTACTGGAACTATACAGAATCTATAGTTGCTTGGTTAGAAACGACAAGGGGTTGCTACATTGTAGCAACCCCTTGTCCTTCCTAACCATTAAGCAACTATAGATTCTGTATAGTTCCAGTAATTCGCATCCTTGACTTCGAAATTATCGTTATCATCAGCATTGTTGTAGCAACAATTATTGAATTCATTCTTTCCCATCTTCAATAACGGACAAAAATAGTTGCAGTGATTATAGAAAACATTGTCTTCACTCTGTTTATTTTTCTACTATTTGCCCCTCTCCTCCTTTTTTATATGAGTTTCACCGTTGTATAAGGAGTAGGAACTGGAACGATCTGTGCCAGCTTAGGTAGTAACAAAAACACGAGAGAAATGAAAATGGATGTGGATTCAATTACCTAAAAAATACAAGTAAAAGTACACTTTTACTTAATTATTTTCAGATATCCATATGTATTGTTAAGAGATAGGGGAATTTTGTACCAACAGAAACCTAATACGTAATTCATCCATGTAATTTAATTCTAAAATAAAAATTTTTTTGCCCATTATTGTTCGCTAATGAAATTTAGTTTCTTTATAGGCGATGAGTTAGGGGAATCTGACGTGGATGAAATTATGGAAAACAAGCGTTTCCCTCAACAAAGATTTTCGCCGATAAATCCGGTTCGGGCCAGAAGTGAAACGCCGAAGAGAGGACGTTATTTTTCGCCCATTCCAGTCAGTCGGCCGTGGACACCCGATTTCATAAACAGATCGTCACAACAAAGAGCCTTGGCCTTACCTGCGACCAAAACAAAATCTCCGTCAATGCTTCATTCGGGACCAAAAAGTGCATTCACAAGTCTAACAACAGAGTCTAACAGGACAGTGGCATCAGAGGAGAATGGTAAATTGCCGTCCAGCAACGTAGAAAAATACCGCGTACTTTCTTCGGGTGAAAACAACAATGTAGTTAAGTCGTTAGCAAAATCCAGCAACAATGAAGGAGATCGGATCTTCCACACTTGTTCAACCTCTAGCATCTTGGTCAATGCCACCAACGGCTGGCAAGACGGCGTTTCAAGCTAAGCCACCACAAATCATAACTCACCACCCCGCAAGTATGGTAGCAACTAGCACTGCATATTCGAACAGGACAGTTGCTGAAATGTCGAGTTTAGATAAATCGCCAATGGCCGATGCACATTATGGACGAAGTATGCCACGGTTTGTTTTCACCCCTGATACTTTACCCTATCATCCTCCAGGTTCTTACTTTCCTCCATTTCTCGCCCTTTCCTACCCCTCGTATCCCTTGGGGCCCCGTCCTTCGCCAGCGAATGGCAGTCCAACGCCTCTTCTTCGACCAAACGTAGTCAGCCATAGCGGATATCCTCTTGTGCTGAATTCTCCTGTGCTGAATATTCAAGTGAATACTGGTCATTCTGCACCTCAAACAACCAGTCTTCAAAACCTTGGAGAAAAAATTCCTACAAAAGCTGTTAATACTAATAAGTACCAAGGTGCGGACACAACGTTTAATTCTGAGGACGTGTACAAACAGCAATCCCAAAGCTCTGCAACATTGCCTGGAACACCTACCCGTAAGGACAGTAAAGCACCTGCTGAGAAAGAAGGGAAAGCGACAAAGAATATTCTTAAAAAATTCGTTGCTGATGGAATGGAACAGTAAGTTGTTTAACTGGTTTAACCCAATGGAGGATACTTTGTGGGGGGGGGGGTTGACAACGTTTTCGTTTCTGGGAATCTCAGTGTTACACCATATGACAAATTTTTTGTGTCTGGAAATCTCAGTTCTTTGTGAACATTTTTGCCTTCAATTTTATGTAATATAACACCTTAGTTTATCGTCTACAAATGCTTTCATGGTTGCAAGAGTATTATTACGGCTATGTTACACGGTTCAGCTAGCAGAAATTATAAGTGGGGTGGGCGGCGCCGGCTGCCACCCCCTCCCCGTTTGCTAGTGTCCGCCGCAGGTTTTACCTCAATAAAAAGATGAAACCCTTTCAAAAGCATGCTTTTGAAAAGGTATAGTTTCGCAGCTTTTCAGGCATTTTTACAACGGTTGGAAAAGTCCCTATCCGCTGGATGGCGTTATCCGGTCTCCGCGTATAAGTGACCCCAGCGATGTTTCTCAATTTTTGGCAAGGTTTGAAAAAGTCCCACCAGAATTTCCACGGTAGAATGCAGAACAACGTACACTGTATTCACCACCAAATTCACCAGTCAAGTGAAGTGCAGTAACATTTTTTAAATCAACTTACCAGGGCCTATATACAACAAGAAGACTTAATTTCTTTACCAGGTAGGAAAATTAGGACTAGCTAGGTTCCAGTGAGGCAAAAACTGCCCAGGGAGGTAAAAGTATCTTGCCAGACCGGATCTGTCAGATGAAATCTATTACAGAGCGCTGTATTATATCTATGCATATTTCTACTTTTTAGGGTGCTTTCTGAAGTGAACTTCGAGAAACGTTTTGCTGAACTACCAGAATACACCCCAAAATGTGCTACTATAAACGTCGAGAGTCCGCCTAAAAATAAGGAGGACTTGAGACAAGGAGAGACCTCGTGTAAAGCAAGTATCTCTAACATTGGTGCGAGTTCCTCTCCTGCTGGCAAATCATGGAAAACGCATAACGATAGCCTCGACGCGCTTGCCGAAGCTGCCGCAGGGGTAGGCAGCAACCAAGAGGGACCAGCCAGCAATGGCCTAAAACGTAATATGGATCAGAAGAGAAACTTGGTTCAGCAGTTTCTTCTGGAGCACGGATTATTTCCCACGGAAAAAGAAACAAATGACTTTTTAGTCGAGCACAATGATATCTTTCCAAACAAATCCAATTTGCAACTTAAAATCCGTGAAGTTCGTCAAAAATGTATGCAAAGGTAAGACTTTAATTAAGAACATTTCTAACTACCGAGAACTCGTCAAAGAATCGCATTTTATGTTGTCGCTGATCTGTATCTTAATTTGTATTGATAGGGACCGAGATGTCAGAATTCAAAGGGATTAGCCCATCACCTGCGTTGTTATTTTGTCACATGGTAGAAATGTGGGTAAATTTCATGTCGGTAAGATAGTTAAAATTAAGATTAAAAAAATAAGGTATATGGTGGCACCGATTGTAACGTAATATTGTCACGTAGTGTGTAGTATATAGTATATCTAAGTTATAAGTTGATGTTTGTTTTGGTTAAAATATAAAGAAGATTGCATGGCATATTTATTGTTTATCAATAATCCAAGTGTCCATGTGGATATTGATGTTATAGTCATATCAAGACACACCCAGTCATTAGATTTTCGTCACATTTTGTTTCTTGTTTGTTATTTGCTAATGATTGGGAAAGCTGTCTAACGTGTTGGGCCTATTTAACAATTAGTCGCCGAAGGCGAGGTGATTGTAATCACCGAGCCTGAGGCGACTAATTGTTTTAGTATAAATTTCCAGGTGTTTACAAACAATAATCCACACAACTTTATAAAAATTCACTTCAAATAAATTTATTTTCACTATAAATAGCCAGTTTGTTTACAAAATTTAAATCTCAGACACGGCTCTGTGTCGCGTTGCGACTAAGCCAGTTTTTTTTCCAGATAAAAGCACGTAAAGTTTAATATTTTACCTTGAAATATTTTTAAACCATATTTTGTAGCTTGTTTGGGTTTTTTCGGAATGCTATCTTCTTTAATTTTGGCAATTTCCTCCTCTGTTACTACGGCAAAACGAGCAGCCATTTTGAAAAAAAAGCTATAGTCACTGACCAGTGACTATCACTTCAGAGACAGTGAATCTTGACCAATCAGAATGCAGAAAAATCAATACTCACTTGGAAATTTATACTAATCAATCATAGTCAATCGAGTATGGTTTGGACACTCGGAAAATTTCAATTAGTCTCTATAATGTGCTGCGGTTTTATGTTGAGATTGACCGTGCACAAATCTTTTGAAATTTTGCTCGCTTGATTATTTCAGTGGTACGGTGATTTGAGGTGATGTCATTGGATGGGTATTTCATTGGGCAAAAAGTCATTGTCTTCACCGTGCAAAAGTTTGCATAAACATGGAGAAAAATAGGACAAAAGAGATTCCAGACCATATGTTAATTGACTATGATTCAATTCTCTTTGTTAAACTGAAAGTTTTTTTAAAAAGACAATTAGACGTAAAACATTTAAAAAAGTATAAAAACTGTTTAGAAAATATTTGCATGCATGATGGTGAGCCTAAATACATGGCAAGAGAGGTAAAACTGCATATTAAGTTGCATGTTTTGATTGCATTTTGAAGAAAAATTCTTGAATTGCATGACTTTTCTATTTTTATTTTGTAGTACAGTAAATAACTAGCGTGTAGTCTTGAGCACATAGTAGAGATTTTGAGATTTGCGATCAGATGATGCGGCCGTAGAAGGAAATTATTTCTTTGCAAAAACATTGCCAATACCTGATATTTAAATGTTCACGTTCGTATTTTTATTTTTTCTGCACTGTAATGCAAAGACTTAAAGGAGTATTTTGAAAAATATTCAACCACATTTTATCGATACCAGTATTATCAAGTTGTCATTTTGATAAAAGTGTCTACAACAAGTACAATCTTCGAATGCTTTGATGTTGGTGTTGAAAACAACTCATAAAAAAAGGTGTTTCGATAAAGGTGTTTAGTTAATTATAGTTCCGTGCATTGGATTTCAGGCCAATAAATTGTGTATACCTATTCAAAAGTCTCATTTGTATACAGAGATTTGAGATTTAAACATTTTGAAAGTATTATAAACGGCTGCGTTGTCGAACTTTCGTCGGAGGTCTCAAGTTCTCTTCTAAGAGAGAGATGAAAGACATATAGGTGATGTTTCGCAAACAAAATATTGTTCGACAAATGTAACAATTTTCTTTTCTTTTTCTAATTTTTCACCGGGCATAATAATTCTGCTCGGTTTCAAAGTGAAAAAAAAAAAAAAATGTCCGGCTTTAAGGCTGGATGCAAAAAGGGTGATTCACTATCACTTGTACTCAAATAAAAAATCATGTCACGTGAGAAAGTGCATGTTATGAAAGTAAGAACAAGTTGGCGCTGTACGTTTCCCATGTTTTGGCTTCGTCTAATTTCAATAAGATCCATTTGAAAATCTAGTTCACCGATTGTTTCGCAACTTTGGATATAGAACTTGAAGACGCTTTAAATACGTACAGCTATTGCAAATGGTTAAGAAAAAATAACATGCCAAAGTATATTAGCATATGCGATCTTAAAAACGTTGTACTACAGTGCATGCATGTGCAAAATAAAACATGCCACAGTTTCGATAACTTGTTTAAAGGATTAGTGTCAGACTTTTGTTATTGTTTTGTGAAAATGATCAAGAAGTAAAAAGTAACCAAAAATATTTCTTCTGACTCTAAACGGATTGCAGACGAACTATTGCATGGCAATATTTTTTTGAATAGTAGAGTAATTTGTAGTAAAAAGGAGTAAAAAGTTTTTTATTGTTACTTTATCAATTTTACAAAACTAATTAACAAAAGCTTGACACTAACCTTTTTAAAGTATATTCCTTTTTTTGAAAACTCGTGCACATGTATATTTATTCTAATTTAACATTATAAAATCACTTTAGATATGAGTAATTAAGTAGTGATGAAAAATTTTTAAGTATATGATACATGTTAAGTTTTATTTGAAGTAAAAATACAAGATTTTTAGACGATTAGCACAAAGATATTATTGGAATAAAGTGTTAAAGTGGAGACTGGGTTACAGTATGTAAACGAGCTCGAATAGCTGACTATATAGTCGGTCGTTGTGCAAACCTGTTAGATTATAATAATATTCTAGTGTATACCTAATTCTTAAGGTAGTAACTTTTGGAGTGTTGACATATTATTTGGTTGATAAAATGTAGATGTTACACCAGTGATCCACTTGACTAGAACAAGCTGTAAAGAAAGTTAAGATGCTGTATCTTACTATAGTTAGAGACGCCAAAGAATGCTGTTGAATTTATTCGTATGATACCAGATTTTTTCGTTTGTTAACAGGGCTTTGGTCAAAATTGCATCCTGCTAAGATTCATTGTTAAACCGAACGTCCAAAAAATGGTGGCTTATTTCACACCTCTTCGTTTTAGAAACGACAGCGAAAACCAATATTCCAATTCTCCTAATTTAAAATTAAAAGAATTGAAATATTGGTAAATTAGGTGAAGTAGATAAAGTAAAATGCTAGGGAACAACTTTCAGAATGTAAGGTGACCTATAATAACAGCTTTCATTCTGGTCTTTTAATTCACTGGTAACCACAGAACTGCAATGATTAAGTGACATTTGATTATAAAAATATACGATAAAGCTGGGTTTCATTTCCACTTGGTATGATTCAATTTATAGTGTTAAAGGGAATCGATATTTAAGTATACGTTTGGGAACTGGTCCTAAAACTGTTGAAGGATGTGTCAGTAATTTACATCCCTTTTCTTGGTGCTAAAAACTGCAAATGTGCCGAGAAAGACGCTGAAGATAATATAACATCCCGTACTCCTGTTGGATAAGACGTAAGGCCAAAAAAAATATGTGGGTTTCCGGTTTCCCGACCCTACCTAGCTTTTGGACGTCGAAATTCCGACCCTAAACTTTTTTATTGGATCATGGTTGTAAGTGTTTCCACTTAGAGGAAAGAGTTTGTGGAAAATTGAAATTTGAGGCAAAATTAGGGAAATTTATCTTTGGATGTGGAAGCACTGACTAAACAAAATGGCGTCCGCTTGTTCGGAAAATTAAAAAAAAAAGTTAAAAAAAAAGTTTAAACCGACCTACCCTACCTAAGTTTTTATAAGAAGAAACCGGAAACCCACATAATTTTTTTTTGTCCTAAATACAATAGCACAATTTAAGCTGGTCTTTCATGTCTTTTTCCTTTTTCGGATGGTTCAGTTTGTTTCAAAACAAATTTCGGCAGTGTGATTGGTTGTCGAGAAAATTAATCGTAACCAATCGCATTGCCGAAATTTCTTTTTCGCTTCGCGCAAACAAATTCGCCTAGTGGAAAGTATTCTAGCACGTCATAACCCAGCCAAAACCTTTAAACGACAGAAGGATAGCAATGGACTATACGTAATTACTATCTGATATCTGGACTTTTGTCGTGATTTTCGAATGTTATCGGTATTATTGATTGGATTCGTGTTTTACTCCGCCTGTGATATCTTAAATGTTATCGTTCCAACATGAAACCGACTGAATTATCAGTAAAACAAACTAAGATCTGCAAAGCAACAGAAAACCTGTGTATCCTTCAATGTCGTATTCGTATACAATTTATAGAAGCGGTTTTTCTGCTGAATGGTTCAAGTCACTTAATAATTGCAGCGCTGTAAAATTTAATCTAGCTACTGTGTAGCGGTATTAATATAATATACACTATACTATATAGCATTATTTATGGGGATTGTAGAAACTATGTTATTGGAACGAGAGAGGAATTAATGATTAATAAAGAAAATTTTAAAAAACTACATGTTTTTACCATTTTGTTAGCTTATTATAAACAGCAAGCAATTTCTTGTAAGACATATTTATGCCATAATACACGATGCAATCTTTTGCTGTAACTTGTAAAGCTACGTTTACACGCTGCGATTAATCCTGTACGATTCGTTTTCCGCATTGAGTATAAACACGCGTAAACTGGCTACATTTGAAATTTCTTTTTAACGAACGACAATGAATTATGGCGCCAGCACTCATTTTAACACGCCAGAATACGAATCGTACACGACAAATCGCAGCGTGTAAACGTAGCTTAATGCACGCCAATTCCTGCATAGAGCCAAGCATAGTCGATAGAAAGGCCTACTCTAGGGCGGTAAATCGCCTTAAATCGCGGGTTAAAATTGTCGAATTTCTTAAATCGCCTAAGATCGCGTAAAATCGCTTAAAATCGTCAACATGCATTCTGTTTGATACATTCAGTCCATGTACTCAAGTTTATCAATTGCTGCTATTTTACGGGCAAATCATGTAATCCAGGTGCTTTGCAATCAAAAGTAATGCAACATGAATTAGCAATCAAATAAGTGGATTAGGCTGACAATATTTGGTCACTCAATAGGCACCGGTCATTGACAAAAACAGAGCCTTTTTCTGCTTTATGCAGACTTTACAATAATTAGGTAATTCTGGGATCTGAACGACCCATAGATCCCATACACTACCAGCAACAAAATTGAGCTAGTCACCAGAATGAGTTAATTCCATTATTGGTGTAAATGGAGGCTGAGCTACAATTTATATGGACTATGGAGGCTGGGCTACAAATTAATCTATAATGTACATGGCTTCTCAAAGCCTAATTGCTGTTAATTAGAACAACAGTAGGAGATTAGGAAAGTCAATTAGTACGAGTGTTGATTTATATAATAAAGTCATCGTGTAATTTGTGCACTGTTGCATGTAAGATCGAGCACTGCATTGTATACAATGGTTGTACTTCGACATGTGCATGGTTACACTCTAGCTCCTAGTTATAATTATAGTGGCTATCAAACGAAAAATATACGTGAGGTTATGAGCGATTTGCAACTCTCATCTATTAAATTTTCCAGACCCGGCTGTATATACAATAAACAGTAAATTAAACCATGATTACATCGCACATACCGTACAATAGATCTTTTGTTGTTCTTTGTTTGCAGAACCTAAAACCACGATGTAGTGCGCCATTTGTTTAATACTGTATTATTTTGTTTTTATTTTTAAAATAATTTAGAAATTAGAATTCCTACCAGTTATATACGATGATATACTTAATGTAATTTAAACATTACGGCATTACGCCGACAGTTTCCGAATGCGTGACGATATTGTTTCTGGAAAGGCACTGGCATATGATATACTGCGGATTTCGATTTACCGTTTCAGGGCTTCCGTTTCCAGGGATTGTTTTTCCGTTAAAACGAACAAGTTGCTAAGGGCCAATGTCAATGTCACTAAGTGAAGTCTAGTGGTCTTTGTCCGTTGTTTTCTTATCCGTTGTTTATCATTTGTGAATGTAACTGTTATATTCATATTTATCTCATGGCAACATTTTGATATATAATTTACGAAGCTTTGTGGTCATTTCATGGGCGTAACGGAAGGAAAAAATTAGGGGGGCGGAAAGAAATTTGCCCGACATTTCCGGATTTTGCCCGACTATTACCAAAAGAATTTTTTCCGGAAAAATGAGTTTAACGACCTCCCCCCCCCCCCCGTCGCCAAAAAAATTTCGGTCAGTGTACCATTTTAGGGGTCAAAAAATTTTCCGGACATACCAAAATTTTTCGGAACATCATACAAAT